GTATGCATTTGTTTACTACATAGACCAAGACCTTTTGAAATTGCAGAAGAAAAAAAAAGAGAAAGGGAAAAATGTATAAAAGAAAGGAAAAGGTGGGATACAGAATTTGACCATGAGTAGAGTTAAAATGGAGGAAAAAAATAATAAAGCAAACTGAAAAATATGAATCTAATTTTAAAGGTGCATGGACTATAACCTAAAGGAGGGATCACATCCCTCCCATTTCAGCCACAAAAACAGTTTCCACAGTGACAGACAAACATGCCATTGGATTCCATTCTAAACCCCGAATGTTAAGGAGCATGTTAATGGAAGATATATATTGAACAACGGTGTTTTAGAAGATAGGATGATTTCTTCGATATGTATTTATCAAGAAATCCAACTGTGTTCTTTAATGTAATTGTTGAATCTGATAAAGGAGAAATCATGATGATAAGTGACTTTAACAGAATATGTTATGCTGCTAAAGCCGGTAAATATATTTAAAAAAAAAAGTTTGGAAAAGTTCCATTTCATCGAATTACTATGTGTCTATTTCCCTCAGATTATACATCATACATACACAGGAATATATTTGCTTCTGATAGCTCCTACAACCTAATATGATTCTATGATAATATATGAGATTTATTCTAGCAATAGAAAAGTTGAATAAATCTCATATATTATCATATTACACCTCCTTAATTTTGTGAATCAAAATCCAAGATTCAGCCTTTATACAAAATGTGAATTATTGAGAGAATGTTTTTTATCAATATGTGATACCATATAAGTTGATCAACATGCAATCCTGGGTATATATAAAGCTTATATATGACATTTCTTTTGACTAAAAGAAATACAGTATCAAAGATAGTTGTAATAAAATAGCTATAATGAAAGAGTTTTGAGATAGAACATATGTTTGAATCTTTAAAAACAAAAAAAGTAGAAAATTGTGAAGTTCATAAAAGCAAAGTTCTTGAGGATTACCAGATATATCTAGAGGAGAAAATGTAAGATGAATTGTTCGATACAAATTGTATTATGTAACAAATCAGCAAAAGAAGAGGTTCATTTCATCAATATTATTTTAATGTAGTCTAATGCAAACTTAATAAATTCATAGCCTCTTTGAGGAATAATGCATCATATGATGTGTGAAATAAAATAACTGTTTTCTTTAAAATATCAACATTAAGAAAACTAAAAAAAAAATCCTCAAAAAGAAAAGATTAAACAGTAAGAGCTTAACCTAAAATAAAATTCCTGGTCTTTATAGTTTTCAAACTAAATTTGGTAAATATAGATGCTTTACTCTGTGATTACAATTGAATCATGTGCAGAATGAGAAAAAAATAGAACTAGGTGTATATCAAAAAAGGACCCTAATTTACCACAAAGATTTTAAAACATAATTGTTACATGCATACAACATTAATTTGAAGACTTAGTAGAATTAACTATTATTTCTAGAGCAGTTAATTCTGCTATGTCCAGCTAATGTCATTTAAAGTAGATTAACGAGAACCGTGGTGGCACAGTGGTTAGAATGCAGTACTTCAGGCTAACTCACTGCTCAGTCCAGGAGTTCGATTCTGAATGACTCAGAGTTGACTCAGCCTTCCATCCTTCCAAAGTTGATAAAATGAGGACCCGGATTGTTGGGGGGCAATATGCTGACTCTGTAAAAACCGCTTAGAGAGGGCTGTAAAGCACTGTGAAGCAATATATAAATCTAAGCGCTATTACTATTGTATTATATATCAGTTCTTCCCTTTAAAAAAATGCCACAGGAAGATTCCTTATATTTTCCATTCCATGGTTGGAGACAAGTCTTCAAACTCAAAGGGAAAAATCAGGTCTTGGATATGCTTCTATAGCTGGGTTCTGCCAAAATCGGATAATCTCAGCTCTTGAAATAGGGTTGGGTTGGCAACAGGAACTTGGATCCAAAGTATTCCTAAAGTATCCCACCTACAGTAAAATGTCCCTGCTGGGGATATTTAAGAGAGTAGGCATATTTAAAACAAATTTCAATTTGATCTATACTTTTCCATCCCATTCCTCACAGTGAGAAAAAAGTGGAGATAGCGATCCCTTCCAAGAAGAGTAGATGTTTTTATATCTACTTTGCCAGTTTGCACCTATCAGTGGATTTTTCAGAGTAGCCCAACTTTTAGAATTTCTTTTAATTATGCAGACCATCTGTGCTGGAAAAACTCATGGCTTTTTTTAAAAAACTAAATCTTCCTTCCTAAGAAGGCTTTTGATAGACCTGAATGATAAATATGTTTACCTTCCACAAATTTATTATACTAAACTGTTCTTTAATTGTGCAAGGTCACTACAATATTGCTAATGTTATTTCCAGTCCTTTTCCTAACGTTCTCTAGTGTGGAATCTGCCTTTTTTCATAGCTGCTGCAGCTTGAGTTCACATTTTCATGATCCTAATATTTTGTTCTTGCTTAGTTACACACATCTCAGACCACCATCAGTTTATATGTAAAGTTAGGACTATTTGCCCCTGCATGCCTTATTTTGCCTACATGTTTAAAACTGAACCACATTTGCCTCTCAATGTTGATTCACCAGTTTGAAGAGATTCCTCTGGAGCGCTTTATGGTTGTGTTTGGTTTTTACCACCCTGATTGATTTGTTATAATTTGGAAACTGGTCTTGCTCAAGACTTCCTCCTTTCCAGTCAAGATCTGTTTATGAACAAATTAAGAAGCACAGCTCCCCATACAGCTACTTGAGGCATTCTGTTTTTTTCTTTCTTCCTGTAAGAAAATTGGCCATCTACTGCTATTTTTTGTTTTCTGCTTTTAGCCAATTGGCAGCCTATAAAAGGGCAGATTCTTTTATTGTATGATTGCTAAGTTTACTCAAAAACTTAGTTCCTAGTTTTTACTCAAAGACTTTTGGTGGGGATGTTTGTTCTAAGTCGAAAGCCACTTGGTAAAATTATTAGAGAGGATCATATTATTAAACTATATTAAATAACATCTATTATATGCAGGTGGCTAAATGAAGACTTAGCATTTTATGACATCATGTAAAATTGCAGGTTATAAATTAAACAGAACCAAGATGAAATTAATGGAAATAAATATTTAAGACTGTGACAATGGAAAAATATTCAAATTGAATAACCTGAAATGATCAAGCAAGCCTGAAATATTCAGAATTACAAACTCTAAATTAAGCACAGCTATAGGGGAAAATGCACACACACACACACACACACACACACACACACACACACACACAAATTGAACAGTGCTTGACTTCACAGTGTTGTTTGATTAAAAATGATATAACCGTAAAAATATTCCAAGTGAGATACCTTTAAAGACCTGGCATTCTGGCAAAAAGATTAACTGGTTTTGTATTATCAGATAATAAATTGAGATAGAACTTGCAATACAGTAAAGACTGAAACCTGAAGACTCATGTTAGATGCAAATATTATACAACATGATTCGGTAATGACATAATGGTAGTAATAAGGGCGATCACTTAAAACCAAGGACATGCAATTCTTGTCAGCCCAGAATTTCATTTACCTTTTGATGGTATTCCAGGGATCACATTTTAACAAATGGACAGAGCCAGAAAAAACAGTACATTACCAATAAAGGAGAATATTTGTAGCTGAGGGTTGAAATGAGGGGTCCTTAGTGCTCTATGAGCTTGGTTATTTTCTTGCAAACTTTTCATTATATCAAATAATGTAAACTAGGTAATATCAGTACTAGTCAGTGCTAGACTAGGTAATATCAGTACTAGTCAGTGCTAGACTAGCACTAATGATATTACCTAGTTTGGGTAATGAAACATCTGCAAGAAAACAATCAAGCTCAGAGTGCACATTTGATAAAAAGAAACTTAAATTACTTTTGAAGCACCCATTCTTACCTTAATTAGTTTGATGTCAACTTTTAGAGAGACTCTACTAAGACTTGGGCTGGGGGAATGGCAAAATTATCTTAAGATATTAAATTGCATATCCTCTTCCCAAGTATAATAAATATTGGAATGAAATAGTTGTGTGTGTGTGTGTGTGTGTGTGTGTGTGAGTGTGTGTAATCTTATAATGACTCTTTCAAATAGTGACTCTTTAAGATTAGTATTAAATACATTTTTAAAAAATGAACTTTAGAAGTAAAAATGTTTAAATGTCTGTTATTAAACATGCCTGTCTATTTTGGACAAAAGCAATTACAATATTACTTTAGTATATTAATGGAAATTAATATTTACAAGTGTCAAACTCTATTTGGGTTGCTTTTAAAAAGAATTAGTAAATCCATGATGTGTAGTGTATAAAAATGTTACTTATGTAATCATATTTGCATATATAAGTGAAGATTGGTTAAATAGGCTTTTTATCTAAAATCCATGTTATTTTTTCAGTGAGATGCGTATCAGTCAGTGAAAACTAATTTTGAGGGCTGCAGAATTAATCACAATTAATCACAGGAAAATTCAGAAAAATGCTACTAATTATATGTATGGATTAGTAAATTGCAGCAAACAATGCAATTACAGAAAATCAGGCAGATTGGCACTAGTAAAATCCAAGATTTTTGAGCAAATAGAATCTATATATTGAATATTATACTGATTATTCAAGGAAATTAATGACTAATAATGTTTCCATATTTCTCAATTAACTATTTTCACAGAATTTTAATGAAATATTAAGATGCATTTTCATTTTATTACTATATAAGAATGGATAAATTGGTTTTGCACATTATTTGTATACTGAAATGATTAGTATCATTTTCTTTTCTTTATTACAGTTTTACTATTGCTTACTCAGTGGTTTTATTTCAACAATAGCTAAAAATACCCTAAAAAAAATATACATATAGACTGACACACTCATAAAATGTTAATTAAATATGTACAAGGGACATAATTGGAGAATTAATTAGCAACCATATATACCAATAGACAGCAATTTTGTTGCCTTGTTTATTTAGAGGTTGCATCTTAGCTGGAAAGCACTGAGGGCACGGCCCATCTCTGGAATTAATGGGATTCTTACTGTGAAAGAGACGTAATAGATTTAAATTGCTGAAGTCCATCATGTTTTTTACCCAAACTTTGTTATCCAAGTTTGATGAGATAACAATTTATCTCTTTGTTTCTCCCTGTCTTTAGTCACAATATCTATTTTAATGAAAAATGGAATTCCGCAATAGTTTTATGCTTCTAATTCCTAATTATTTTGCTGCATTGCAAGTAACTGCACATCTTTGCAAAGTAAGAAAGCTACTGATAATTTATACCCATAATAATTCTTTTGTTAAAGTATCATATTCATGGGCTTATAGCTCATTCAAATCACAGCCAATTTTCGCAGGAACACTCAAAGCCACTTCTTGACAATGAGAGAGGTTTTTCTACTAAATTTCAAAGTTCAGCCCTACCTATTTCCTATCTTGGCATTGTTCCAGGAAAAGGAGTTGCAATGATAATATTTAAAGTATATTTTCCCATATTTTACTTATATTCAAACATGATATGGACCTTTGTTGCAAACTCTTACCAGAAATAATCAATTCCGGTATGACTCAACATCTAGAAAATTTGAGCTGCAAAATGAATGTTTCTGGAAATGATAGGTATCTAAAATTGGAGTGCTGGATTGGAAATGCTAATACAGGAATAATGGCATTGTAGTCACTGCTGCTTACATTGATATAGACACTGCTTCCAAGGATAGGTTGAAATATTAAAATAGGATGGCAATTCTAAAGGCAGGGAATAATACAGTCAGCAATGCACAGTGTAAAATCATGTTGATTGTGGGAAAAATAAAATTATTTTGCCTATGTTGCTGAGAAGAAGATGGTTGTATGGAGAATGCAGATGTGGTTAAAATAACCATACTGTTTTCCTGTATTTATATAGCAATCTCAACAAACATACACACGGGATTTTAGAACATCAGATGAGCAAAAAGGCAGGGCCTGATACCAAGTAATTGCATTTCTCTGATGCTTGACAGTGGACTGGGAATGCAAGAGAGGATTATGTGGACAGAATTTACTTAAACCATGTGAACAAGGACAAAGTGGGTTATTTCCTAGGACTCCCAACTTTTGTATAGCAAAGGATTTATTTTCCCAAGAGTGATGCCTTTCTTGTTCTGTATGGGAGCCTCCAAGAAGTCTGACTGCAGCATGATAGAATATGCCATTTGCACTATCCATTTCTTCCATTTTCAGGTCAGAGTTACAGCTGGAGCAGGATGCAGAGGCAGTGTTCCCTAAAAAGACCTCGAAGCAATGGAATAGTGTTTGACATCTCAAATCTTCCCTGCAGCTAAAAAACTAATACTTTATGTTGAATGGAGAAGTTTCAAAATAGGTAGTTGTTTACTTGAGGCAAGATCTTTATTTAGAGGAGCAGTCACATATGCAACCCATCATCTGCCATAAGAAGTGGTAGAATGTATTTGACTGTACTTTTCTGATTTTCTGCTTCACATATAAATCAGATCAAAGGAAGCTTGGAGAGGCAACCTTGCCTGTTAGTAGTATTTGGGAAGGGGATGGATGGGGGTCCTAGAGATGCCCCAATGCTTCCTAGAAGAATGCATTGATACTAAGCCATTCTATCGAAATGGAGTGTGCATTTAAAAAATTTAAAAAAATGCTTTAGCCATGTTTGTTTAATATGGAGACTGCACTATGCACTTAATTCAGCACAAATTTGAAATTGTGATCTTTCAGGTTGGCATGACTACAGAAGAAATAGATTATTTGGTTCACCATGAAATAATCAAGCATAATGGTTACCCGTCACCTCTAGGATTTAAAGGTTTTCCAAAATCTGTTTGTACTTCAGTAAACAACGTGGTAAGCCATGGAATTCCTGACAGGTATTCATGTTTTTGTTATTGCAAATTAAGATTATGTGGCTACTCATGTCTTTTTTCCTCGTGACACACTCATAACATAGTATCCACTCAGCCTACTTAATATGCCACATTACAGATCATTACATATTCCATGTGGTTTGCATGGAAGTTCTCCTTTAATCCAAATGAATGGAGATGAATACAGCAGCCGGGTTCGGTCACTGTATTTTATTAAAACCAAGTATCACCGGTTGCTGTGCGGTAAGAAAATGATGTTGGCACTTATCAAAGGAGGATAATAATAATAAAAGCAAAGATTATTGCTTCGCCATCTCTTTTCCCAGCATGGTATAGCACCTCAGTCTGGGATATATAATCAAAAACAGAAAAGTCACTCAACAGAAAAATTATACTAATTTTCTGGAAATCTAAAGGTGGAGTGTGTGTGTTAATTATACATGAATATGTTGCTAATTATTAATGAATATTACCTGTTCAGAAAATAAGAGGTGCCAAATGTCAGTCTTTCCATGATGATAAGATAATCATAATGGTGATTTTTGTTCCTTTGCTTTATATTATGGATTCTTTCTTTTATTTAAATTATTGTTTAGAGTTAATTTGAACTGGTAGGAATCTCAATATTAAAAGTAGTTATCTCCTTTGCCTCTTTCCATTCTACTTGACAATTATATTGATACTTTTCATGTAGCTTTGAGGTATATGGGATAAAGTGTATTTGTTTTGTTACTCTGTCTTAACTAAGATTTGCCTGTCATCATTAAATGTATCTTTTTTTTCCCCTTTACCTTCTGATTATGCTTAAGCCGCCCTCTCCAGGATGGCGATATTATTAACATTGATGTCACAGTAAGTAATTTGTTTATTATTATTATTCCTTTGGATCGACTTTAAAAATGTATAACCACAGTAGGAAGAACACTAAATTACAAATGTGCAAGGGTGAGCTTGACAGTTTTACTCCAAAGCTAAGGCGAGAGCAGTTAGTTTCCTCTTTTGTTGTTATTGTTTTTTTCCTCTCCATGCTTATTCTAACTAGACCTAGGCTTGACTTGAATTTAGGGCTGGAATCAGATTCACTGAGATCAGTGTTGGCCTAAGTGAAATGTCAGCCCAATCCTGCTATGTGTCATGTTTTTGAGAAGATGTAATTGTTATTGATCCACTGTGTAGTTAATGCAGAGCGCCCCAGTACTGGGGCAGCAGCTGAAGGCAGATATGTATGAGATGAGCTAACATGAAGAAAGACGGCATTTTTCCTTCGCTCTGCCAAGATTGATCTTCCTCTTCCTGCTGATTTTGAGTGGGGCCTGTCATTATCTTACTCTGTCATTAGAAGCTACATTGGCCTGTGTGTCAGTCTATTTGGACAGCAACCCTTTGGCTGGCTGTGTTCCCTACATTTATTAAAATCCTCAAAGGCAGCGTTGTGTTCTGTTTGTGGCGTAAGAGCCTTGAACTCTTTACTCATGAATGCACAACCTGATCCACAGCCTACTTAATCCAAAGTACTTGGGTATTCCCGTGGGATTGATTCCATTTCAACCCAATTCCTTGACTTAGCTGGCTTGTAGAACCCACTGGGTGCACAAAGTATATACGTGGACTTAAAATATGGACAAAAACAAACATTTGCTATTATTCAAAATAAAATGTAGTGATATATGAGCAAAAAAAAAACATAAAGGGTTTTTTGTCCTCATTTGCATATCTTTAGAAAAATATTTCAAAAAATGTTATGAACATATTTTTCTTCAACTCCTGAAATTTTGAATATATTTTCCCCAGAATGTTGAAGATTGAAATCCTATGTGAATTGAACTTATAAACGTTACAGCAACAAATGCTTCCTTGATTTTAATAATGGTTTTAGTTTTATCCCATCCTACAATATCTGTCTTTTCAACTGTCTTTGTTTTTTTTTATCATAATCATTGCTTTCTCAGTGTTTGCTTCTTTGTCTCAGAGTCAGCTAATGGTGACTTTTAGAATATTGATCTAAAATGTCCATTCAGTTTGTCTCTGTATGTGTAACTTATGAATTGTAGCCATGGCCTGTACTTTTGATTATGGTTTAGATAAGATAGTTAGATTGTTATATTATAGTAAGTATTAATTTGTGATTGGGTGCAAAATTCTGTGTTCTGATCCTCAGAATATTTTTTTTTCTCTCCAAACAAACTGATCCATCCATTCTTATTCTTCAGTAGTGTATCTTCCAGGAACTGTTTCCTGCTTTTCTGTTTCGAGCCCATTTTGTTTCATTCAGAATATCAGAAACCCCTTCTCCTAGAAGATTGCTTTTCATAAAATTATAACCACCACAAAAATAGCCAGATTGACCAATTCTGGGAGAAAAACAATATTTTCTGGGGAATACAAGAATGTTCTATAACCAGAATGTCAAATTTTGTATGTCCCTTTTTGTGTTTCTAGTTATTTGATTAAACATGCCTACCATAATCCATACAACACTAACAATTTTAATATCAACTTTTTAAGTGATTCAATATATATATATATATATATATATATATATATATATATATATATATATATATGTCTTTGGTTGTTCGGGTTTTCTCCCGCGTAAAATTGGAAGTGTCTTGGCGACGTTTCGACTTTGTCGAAACGTCGCCAAGACACTTCCAATTTTACGCGGGAGAAAACCCGAACACCCAAAGACCTACATACAAACACAAAACCTCAAAAAATATATATATATATATATATATATATATATATATGTATATATATATATATATATATATATATATATATATATATATATATAAAAACCTTAACAAGTTACAAGGTGACCTGATAAAGGAGAATGGGGGGGGGAGCTAAAATCAGCTCCCACCAAAATATACATTCTCAGAAAACTAAACTCTCAGTCCAGCCTTAACACATTTAGAAGATACTGGGAAAGCAAAGCAAGATAAAGAAACATGTTTGTGAAATACTGCCTCTTTGTTTTCTCAAAATCCCCATTGTCTTTGTAGTCCTGTCTCATCATCTCATGTATCCCATTGCCTGCCTTATTGACTTCATCAGATACATGATGTACTATATACAGTCAAATACTTGTGGTTTATAGCTAATCAAATACCTTGCTGCTTGCAAAATGTACTCTAGTTTGTTAAATCTTTAAAGAGGGCTGTAGTCCCTTCTGTCTTTAGACCTGTTTTTGCTTCCAGCATTGCCACCACTAAACCAGGTTTTGCTTCAGTCTAATTATGTCCTGGTCTCCAATTCAAATATATTCTTGAGAAAATTTTCCTACACCCAATTTCTCCAATAGAGTATAATCAAGCTTATACAAAGCTATTTCATCCTGCTAAGCATGCATCTTTCACCTGACAGGGTAGGGGCGATTTGGAGTAGAAAGATTTGGAGTAGAAAAAAATGAAGAGTGAGTAAGAAAGAAACATTTTGTTCCTCACCCAATCATGGCCACCTACACTGTGCATACATTTGAGGGATCCGAATCTTACTTTATGAAAACAGCTTTTCTACACATTGATGTGAAATGTGTCCTTCTCCCAGGAATACCTAAGTTTTCCAGGTGCCTTTGATGGGATAATGTCAAGTGTATTAGGGCACCAACTGGGGAATTTCATAAACAGTGGCATAGGCAACCTGATGCTCTCCAGATGTTTTGACTCCTATAAGCTCTGATCATTCATCATGCTGACTATATCTTGTGGGAACTATAATCCAAAACACCTTCAGGACATCAGCCGGTATGCATTAGGGCTATGCATATATGGCCTTTTTTAGACTTCAGCTTTCAAAACTTGGAGGGAGTCCTGGGGCCTCCAGCTGTGCATTGCTGGTCCAGATGTTTGTTGTTCATTTATTTATACATCCAGTGATTTGCACATTCTCCCATGGGCTTGTTGCCTAAGGATTTTTCTCTTTAAAGCTTGAACACCCCATTCTCAGACATTTCCTGTAGTTGTCATAGTGCACATAGTGGGTCACTACAGCTGTTTGCATGATGAAAGCTACAGGAACTATCTAAAAATAGAAAGTTCAGCATCTCTCCAGATCTCGCTAGGTAATCTATTCCGCTTCCTACCTGTGATTGCTGCTTCCTGTGTATGTTCACTGTTTCTTGGTTTTTTTTTGAATTAGCCATTTAATTTCAATAGCACCTATATCCCAAAGGTGCTTTTCAAAAGGCAACTCGCCTTTCTTGGTTTTTTTTTTCCCTTGAAAACATTTCACTTCTCATCCAACTCAGTCATCCGACTGAGTCAGAAGTGAAGAAGCTTCTTAGATGAGAAACAAAACATTTTCAAAGAGAAAAAAATCAAGGAAGTCCAGTTGCCTTTTGAAAAACACCTTTGGGACAACCATAGATAATAGCACCTATGCTTGCAGTGGAAACTAGAATCTTTTGAGACTGCATGTACCAGATTTTGACCACTTCTTCACTCATTGGATACCAGTTTCTCCCTGCTTTGGGATCTTCTACCCATTGTTTCCTAGCAATAATATGTGAATTCTACTGAATGCAGTGCCACTTACTTTTGAGTAAACATAGTGTGAAACTGAGAGCAAGAGTCAAATTACACAATGCATTCAGTATATGAATGCTGCTCTCTTAATGTTTTTGTTTCACCCAGATGAAGACCATAGTATGCAATGAGTTGAAGTTTAATCCCTTTCTGTATGTGACTGTTCCCCTCTGTTTAAAACAAAAAACAAAAAATATGCCTGGATATGCTGCAGCTGAATAAGAAAATACAAAAAAAAAAAGGAAGAACTTTGGCATGCACTTCAGCCCACATTTACTTGCTTCATTCTCACTAAATTCTAGTTAAAAGAACATTTCAAATATTTCCTTATCAGAAAATCTTTGCTGTTACAGTAAAATGATGGCAAGTTAAACATCCAAGAAAAACCACTTCTACAATCATTGTTTATCCTTTTTGTATAATGACTGAAAAGATTGCTGCTCTGTAATAATTTGTTGGATTTAATGAATTTGAGGAAGCATTATTTGATCTTTCCAAATGGCATAACTAAGCCATTTTATAGGTAGAAAAAACTATTATGAACCAAAAAAGGACAATTACAGTAGATGACATTTTAGAATAATTTGTTTGTGATTGTACACAAGATAAAATGATTAAATAATCTATCCAATGTAAATTCTCTTCTGTAACTGCAGATTTTTAAAGAATAATGAACTAAAGTTCACTTATTTTTGAAAAAATAGAGAGTACTTAAAACATGTTTTAGACGCTTCATTCACCTGAGCTTCGTATATTGTTTAAAGAATTAGAGAAACCAATTAGTTTTCTTCAGTGGCCATCAACCCATTACAGCTCTTAACCAATAATGATCACACAGTTAGTCTATACATTAATAGACAATCATAATTTAGCAAATAATAATTATTCTTATGACCAAATTTTATGTATATTTACTTGAGAATCTGTCTCTCTGTATAAAAGGAGTATTTTAATGGAAGCTGGTGTAGAATATCATAGATTTTTGCATGGGGTTGTGTTTAGTAGCTTTCATTAATTTAAAAAGAAATATTTGAGAAATCAAGAGGCAGCCAAAACAATGCTTCTTAGCTACACTTTTATTGATCAGTTATTTCAATGTAGTCTTTAATTCCAGATGTAAAGCTTTACAGTGGTTAGCACTAAAATACTCATCTGTTGAGGAATTTATAAAACACTGTAACATAAAATCTTTCAGTTACTGAAAGTTCCACTTCCATAAAATCACAATGACAAGAGAAATATTTTTTTTTTGTTTGAGAACATTGTTTCCTGTTGCATGAAAATCCATGTCTGGACTTATGGAAGATTATCAAATAATCTTTTTTAAAAAAATATCAAATGACAATAAGCAGTTGTAAATGCTGGCTTAGATTTGAATTAATAGAATCCAAAGGTATTGAAAGCATAGTTGTTCATACCAATAATAACTGAGCCTAGTTCTCAAATACAGTATTTCTTAATTTTAAGACCATTTGTAGGAGGGATTCCATTATTCTCAAATGACTGTTAAATATGAAAGTACCATTATGACAGTTTGTCATTTTGCTTAATTATACCAATGCACATATTACATACATTTCCATGAATGTGGCAAAATTAAACACAAATGTCACTGCCTCACCCAAATTAATTGTTATGCAGCAGAATTATCCTTTATTTGGGGGAAATGTTTGGATGCAAATTTGGTCTGTTGCATCCAAAGTCTGCTGTGGGAGTCCATTAAACAGAGGCTTGACTGCATAAGAATAAATAAGTACTCTCTGCTGTTCTGCATAATTATTTGCTTTTTATTTATTTTGCACATGTGCTAAAGCAAATGACAAGTGTAGTTCATGATAGACTTTTAAAGAAAACTTGTAACCTGTTCCATAGGACATCAGTACTACCTACTGCACCTTTTAACATTTTCTTGAAAGTTAGGCCTGTTGTTGTCTATTCTTTATTGGCTTACTTTATATTCTCTGTCATAAACAGATCTAATCTGACATAACAGATAATAGGAGAACGTTCACACAAGAATCATGAGATTAAAATGTATGTGTACATTCAGTCACTCCTCAGTAAATGAGGAAAGGATCTCAACTGAAAATTATGGGTGACATATAAATGTCTCTTCTTACACCGATGACCAGCTGTGGCTAAAACAGTAGGTGATGCTTCCCATTCCCTACTTTATTCTTCCTTCTTACTGGAGAATTTGTCCATAGTCAAATCTTTTTCTCAATTTTAATTTTTCACTGTGAGATCCTATGGACATCAGTGGGACTTGCATAACTTAATTGTACAGAACTGCAGCCTTAATTTGAAATTGTTGCTTTCGTGGCTTGCATCTTGGAAAGAAACCTATACTTCCAATGTTTTTGTGATGCTGACTGTCTTCACAGCTTCTTGTATGATCAGAGTTATAGAGAAAATTTACTATTGCTTCCCCCCCCTTTTTTTTCTCAAAAGCCTATTCCCTGTTTGATTGGGGTTTTTTGGTTTTGCAAATTAAAGTGAACTGCCCCTGACACCCAAGGTGTATCCTAGTTAAGCTTCCATCTGAGAGCCACTGAAAAAGCGTTTCTTTTTACATTTTTGCATCTGTTTAGGTGTACCTCAACGGCTACCATGGTGATACATCCGAAACACTGTTAGTGGGGAATGTGGATAAGGCTGGTCAAAAGTTAGTGGAGGTTGCTAGGAAATGCAGAGATGAAGGAATTGCAGTTTGCAGACCCGGGGCTCCTTTCTCCATAATTGGAAACACAATCAGGTAAGCCTTATGCTGAGAAGTAATGAGAAAGCTGCCCAAATAGGACAAAGGCTATTGGTGGCTTGGTTTAAAGCTGATGGCATGTTTTATGATTCAGAACCATCATTTCAGTCTGATATCACTATGTGTGAACTCCATTGTTCCCCAGGGTGGTAAGAAAGGATTTTAAATGGTAAATTATGCAAGGCCAGGTCAGGAAAACTATCTGGAAAAAAAAGAAGTAAAAAATGTTTCTAAATGTGACTGCACTCGCCCTTTCCCCAATATAATCACTAGCAGTTTGCACTGCCTTAATACAATATGGCTGTATTAAGGTTTATGTAAGTTCATCTGTTTCTTGCATGATAACAAATAGTGCCAGTAAGGTGTTTGCTAATGTGATGAAGGACTTGAAAATGTATCCTTTATGCCAAAAACATGAGTGTAAAAAAATGATGGCTCCTTTGGGGCATTTCTTTCTCCTGGCCTTGATACCGCTGTATTGGCCTAGCGTGTTCATCTTGATTAAAATATATTAACCAGGTTTTTCATAGCTTCTGCATGGATCTTTTTTTTTTTTAAGAATCCATCTTGTTTTTGCCTGTGTTTACTAATGCTATTAGGAGAGGCATATAAGTATCTTAAGGCTATAAAACATGCATTGCTCAGCATCCTGAGAATATGCTATTTTTATACTCCCCCCTCCCCCAAATGCTTTACAAAAAATAAGAAAAGAGAGCAGCAAAATATCAGTTTGATGTATTTATAGCTTTAAAAATATTGTAACCGAGTCTGAATCAAACTTTAGTAAAACCACTTTGGGTTATATCCGAGAAGCTTTTATTGAAGACTTTGTATAAAATTGTGTTTTTGACAGTTTTAAATTATAGGCTAATTAGCCTGGGGAAAAAGGATAGTGTCTTTTCTGTTCTTTCATAGGAAATGTTGAATCAGACCCCTACTGGGAAAAGAAATTTAATGCATATCTCACTATCTTACTGTCCATGAATATAATAGAAGTGAATTCAAAATGCAGTTTTATTTTTGCAAATGGGATGAGTCGATGGATGCACCTCCGTATTTTTGAACACCTAGAGTTCAACAAATTTACTGGTGGTACGCTTGCATTTTAACAAAATTTATGCTTGAGTCGAAGGGGGCAGAGAAGACAAGATTCTTATTCAAGCGTTCTCTCGAGCACGGCATTCATGGCAGTGTCTAAAGGGCATGTCAGCCTTTGATTCTCTCTGAGAGGTAATTATCCTTTTCCTGTCACAGAACAACAAATGATAGCTAACTACAGAGGCACATTTGCAGTAGTCACATTCATCAACTGTAGGGGAAAAAAATTCAATTTAATTGTGCAACACAGCTGCACACAGGCTTTTTGAGCATTTGTGTTGTTCTCCCTGTCTTGCTATTCCTTCCTACCAGATCTATTTTTTAAACTTTTTTCCCCTCCTTGCTTTTTTCTCCCTTCCCCCTCCTCTTTATTTTATTTTTTTTATTTTTTTGTCTCTTCTTCCATTTTTACTCTCTGTACTTTCTTGTTAAAGTAATTTTCCTTTGTGACTCTCATTCTTTTTCCCCCCCATTGAAGGCTATGAATGTAGAAAATTATCACAATTACTCATATAATTGAGCCTCTTTGTAGCAAGTGCAACTCCAGTAGCCTTTCTCCATCATGAAAATGGTTTCATTATAGGGTTTTTCATATTCTCTGACACCATCTACCCAAAGGAACAGGCGTGCAGATGAGATGTGCTAGGAATAGGGTAGATCAGGAAGGTCACAGTGGGAATAATTAGCTCTGCTATGGAAAGAGCATCTAGGCCTTTTACTGCTACATAAATGTACTGTCCATGGCTTTTAGGCACAAAAAAACTTACTAACAAATGGAGCTCCCGCCTACTACTTTGAAAAAAAGATTTGTATCAACACTACAATTTTCCATCATTAAGACTAATAACACAGAGCCTCGTATACATCAAGGGGAATAAAAAGAAAAATCTCACATTCAAGTGGCGACTGGGTGCTGACCTTTGTTCCCCTTTTTTGTGTACGACTTAACTCTTTACAAAAAAGAGCCACACGCCACACCAACAGGCAGGTGAACTCCAGCCAGTGCTGGCGAAGTGCTGTGTTCAACTTGAAAAACCGGGAGAAAGCTCCTTGTTGGATAATGTGTTTCATTAGATTCACTCCATTAATTCTGGCTACATTAAAAGTGAGACACAGAAGGATCACAACTGAAAGTAGCTTTAATCTTCCCCTTCCTTCCTTCCTTCCTTCCTTCCTTCCTTCCTTCCTTCCTTCCTTCCTTCCTTCCTTCCTTCCTTCTTCTCCCTCACTTTTCTTTTACAGTGTTGATGCAGAGATCAGTATTTTCACAGCATGGAAATATGTATGCAAAGCTCTGTTGAAAAGCAAATTAAACCAGATTGATCCATAGTCACAATTGCAGACAGAATAACAAATCACAATCAACTCGCTCCCCCCTTCCTCCTTTAATATTTCCTTTTGAATTTATATATGCTAGTGTTATTTAAGTCTTCATGCCACTAAAGATTTTTCTGACCTAAGCTGTCATATATCTCTGAGCTTTGATACTTTTAAACTAGCATTAAAAATGTATAAAATTTTCATCATGTTTATGGTGATACTTATTAAGATCTAATTGTATGTCTTCTATCTGCCATGTGTTCAGAATGTTTGTAGATTTTTTTATAGACACCATCCTATATATTAATATATAGGATTGATGTGACTATGGTCTGAATTCCAGAATATCCTGTAATTTAATCTTAAAGGCTCATGGCTTAATTTGGGCTAGATTCAATCAAACGAATGAAAATATTTATGAAATGTATATTGTACATTAGTCAATTCTTAGTGAAAAATCAAGCTGCTTTTGTTCAAATCCCTTACATTGCTCACCAAAATTCAAATGGAAAGTACTGTGATCATAACTACATAGGAATGTTCTTTACATATAACGTAGCCTTTTTAATATGATTATTACAATCATATCAATTACAGTTTTTAAAATAGAGAATCTGGATCTCTGAAAATGACTTATAGAACCAAACAAATATAAGCATAGTTAAATCAAGACAGTTTTAATTCTGTTGTTAACATTATTGAGATAAGAGTATCAATAAATGGTTTCTAAATGTTTTAAATTATAAATACAATGTTTTGATATTACCTTAGAACAATACAAAAGCAGGGTTTTTTTAAAAAAAGAAATCTGTTTCTATCAGATTATGCACATTTAAACAATAAGTGGCTCAGGCAAAATAAGTCATTTTAATGTCATCAGTGATAGATTTTCTTTGACAGCTACTGTAAATTACAATTACACTCCTTCTCCTTTGAAAGTAAGCATTGCAATAAATTATCTTTTATTTCAGTCCATCAAGACTGCCTTTCAGAAATGAAACACCTCAAATAAAAGTTCAGCAGTAGTGTAAGAAAAATATAGTAATTTGTGTTAGTTTGAAACCAAAAATGTACCTTTCTTTATAAAGAAAGTCCACAATTGTGGGTTTTCAAAAATATGGTTAATTATACCTCATCATCCGTTGTCATTAGAGGGAATCCCTGAAATTGTACATTCCATTAGTCTAGGATATTTATAGAAGGAATACCTTAAACTCCCCCCAACAGACAGTTGGGTAAGTCAGTACAATACTATTGGTCAAATTAACATAAACTAACCTTTGTTTAAATAGCTTTAAAAATTAGATTATATCTGCATTGCTATTTGTGCTGTTGAGTTGTAGAGCTAAACCAAGGCAGCTACTGAGAATATGTGATCCTGGGGCCCTTCAAATGCTAAGAGCTAGATCTTCATGTATTGATCCGTTTACCTGTACATTGAGGCTTTCCTGTCCTGCCCATCTCCCCTCTAAGTGGTCCCAGAACCCTTCAAGGAATCATTTGAAGCTATATGGACAACCTCTGTTTCTAGATGCCACTAATACTGCATCTAGTTTTGGTCACCACGATGTAAAAAAGATGTTGAGACTCTAGAAAGAGTACAGAGAAGAGCAACAAAGATGATTAGGGGACTGGAGGTTAAAACATATGAGGAACGGTTGCTGGAATTGAGTATGTCTAGTGTAACGAAGAGAAGGACGAGGGGGGACATGATAGAGATGTTCCAATATCTCAGGGGCTGCCACAAAGAAGAGGGAGTCAGGCTATTCTCCAAAGCGCCTGAGGGCAGGACAAGAAGCAACGGATGGAAACTAATCAAGGAGAGAAGCAACCTAGAACTAAGAAGAAACTTCCTGACAGTTAGAACAATTAACCAATGGAACAACCTGCCTCCAGAAGCGGTGAAAGCTCCAACACTGGAAGTTTTTAAGAAGAAACTGGACAGCCATTTGTCCAAAATGGTATAGGGTTTCCTGCCTGCCTGAGCAGGGGGTTGGACTAGATGACCTCCAAGTTCCCTTCCAACATTATTATTATTATTATTATTATTATTAGTAGTAGTAGTAGTAGTAGTAGTAGTAGTAGTAGAAATTAGCATTTGATTCCATCATATAGATGATAACCATGACTTGGTCTCCTTCCACTCTCCTGGAGTGGCTTTCATTTTTCTCCCTCTTGATATTAAATCACTTAAAAGGAGTGTAGTTTTAAATCTGATAGTTATCATCGTCTTCAAATTTTTCCCTAAAGTAGTTTGCTATTAGTTGAAACAAGCAGATCTTTTGTTCCTCAGAGAAATACATACAAAATCTAAAGAAAAAAATCTGTAAACTCATCTTTCAGACCAGAATGTGGATTAAAAAAGGAGCTTGATTCCAGCCATGGGAAATAGATGTCTATGTGTAGAAATACCAGTTCAGTACTATATTTTCATGGGTTTTTTTCTTGCACCACAGTAACCTAGCTCTTACAAAGGAAGAGGATATTGGTTCACATGGGGAAACCTGAACAGCATCAACTAGTCAGATTTTTTTAATTGTGGATTCATTGAGGTAGTTGGTTTCATGAACGTAATTATA